CATGAGTTTTCTACAACAGTTAAGAACGTTCTAGTACATACATGTAGTTTATGTTCTAAAAATAGAACAATGATAATATTGGAAATACCAACTGGTCAGATATAAATTATATACATGTAATATGTTGCATACATAACACATGAGTTTTCTACAACAGTTAAGAACGTTCTAGTACATACATGTAGTTTATGTTCTAAAAATAGAACAATGATAATATTGGAAATACCAACTGGTCAGATATAAATTATATACATGTAATATGTTGCATACATAACACAAGGTAAAATATAAGCATTGTAAAACATTTCTTTCATTTCAGCGGATAAAAAGTACGATATACGCTTTAAGAGAGCAATTTGTTTTTGTAATTTTTATTACAGACGTGCTTTATTTGAACATTCCATTTTAAGTTTTAATCTATGTAAATACCTAATAATTTCTGTGATTTCGTTTGACTAAGGCATGTACCTTCTTTATTTATATTTTAAAAAGGTTTTGATTTTAAATTATTTTCTGACCCTATTACCATGCAAGTGGTCTTTTTCGGATTTATTGCCATTTTGTTTAATTTACACCATTTACTAATATTATCAACATCACATTGCAGAGTTCTCTGAATCACTTCAATTTTTTATTTGATGCATGCATAGTTGTATCGTCAGCATACATGTCTATGTTAGAGTTTGTTATACTAAATGGCATATCATTAACGTAGAAAATGAAAAGTAAAGGGCCTAATATAGACGCTTGAGGGACCCCTGATTTCACTGTTCCACTATTTGAATGACTATTTCCATATTTGATAAACTGTGTTCTATTTTCAAAATATGATTTGAAGAGTTTAATTGAGGTGTTTGAAAATTTGTACAATTTTTATTTATGCAACTATATGTTGTGATCTACCAAATCAAATGCCTTCTTTGGGTTTAAAAATACTGTGCCTATCAAACAGCCCTCATCTAAATCGTTAAGGAAGGATTCTATGAGTCGTATTAGAGCTGTTTGACAAGAATGTTTTTTTCTGAAACCCGACTGACTTTCATGAATAATATTAGTTTCGTATATATAACTGTGTAATTGTGATGCAATATGCCTTTCAAAAATGTTTGATATGGTTGGCAAAATTGAAATAGGTCTATAATTATTTGGATCTTCCTTTGGTCCATTTTTGTAAATTGGAAGTACATATGCTTCTGTAAGTTTATCAGGAAAAATGCCATTTCTAATGGAATTATTTGTTATAGAAGCTGTAGCTATGCTTAAATAGTCACCACAGGCTTTAAGAATACGCGGCCAGATACCTTTGATTGTGATTGAAATGGTGAAGATAATGTAAGACAAAAATTGTTTCTCCCCCTAAGACATTAATTTATCAAAGTTGCATAATGACATATACATTTTAAAATGACTTTTGAAAGAAGATGATGCTAAAGGTAAATATGATGAAGAAAAACAACAAATCAATACTAGTTTGGAGTAAACAATATTGTCTAGTGAATTGATTTATAATGAAAGATCTGTCAGCATACCGTAAGTAATTATGTTGATAGAATTCAGTGCCATCTATTGCCCTGACCGTATAGGAATATATAGGGTCTTTCTCTGAGATGCGAATATCAATAAATATAGGATGTACAAACATGATTAACTCGGCAACATTTGACTTCAATATTTGTTCAAACTTAGTGCCTAATCTAAACCTACGAAACATACATTATAAGGACTAAAACGGTTTGACATTTTATTTATATTTTTTCTTCTAACAAATACAACCAAAAGGTACTAGAACTATATTACAACTGTGTTGCTAGGCGGTATTATATAATTAACAAATATGTTTTTCAGAGACTTGATAATTATAATAATTACGTAGTAATATTGAAATTTCAAATAGTTATACGTTTTATACGTTTTATAGTACGTATCTTGATAAAAAGCATCTGATAATCAGTATGTATATCAACGCTTTCAAGTATAATATACTTTAAGTGTATGATTATGTACATTGATAGAAATTTCATAAATGATCATTTACACCTATTCAAAATAGAAGTGCCCAAGACACAAATAAATTTTTTGTCTTAACCGAGTCCATGACCTTCACAAAAGACCACCCGAAAAGGTAATATAAATAAACTAATAGTACGTCCTTTCTTTGCCTAGATCTGCTCGAACAGAAGCGAAACAATAACAAATCTTTTCCCTGCCATTTAATCAAAACAGAACAGTACTTCATCAAAATAAATCAATACATAGACATATGTCCGTTTGGAATAAATGTAGTCATATGCTAAGTTTGCGGTGTCTATACTGGAATTAAGATGATTAACATAATCGGCAAAATCAGAACGAAAACGATCAAAGCTCAGTAAAGTTATACTGTTTTTTAAAACTTCTTTAATTTTCCGAAATTCAGTTAAATTGGGCATTTTAGTTCAATTAATTATAGACAAGGTTTATTACATGCGGTGCCTTCTTATGCCTGAGGTACATACTACCTCTTTTCATCTATATTTATACGGCTTATAATTGATAAATATTGTGATAACAATAACGATATAATTCAAACAATGGCATGAATATTTGTTAATTTTTTAATTATTTATTTAGTTTGTTTTACTTTTAAGATGCAAGTAAAGTACCGATTATTCACCTTTGTACAATAGAAACGCCAAATTTTAGCAATAGTCGCTTAGGCGACTGCCCAATAACATATTGTGAATTGTGAACACCGTGACATAATGATATGTGAAATAAATGTCTAAGAACATAATGATATTTGATAGGAAAATAGCTAGAAAATTCATATTACATACGGATGAGAAGACAAAACTCCAATAATCCATTTACATTACAGAAAGGTTTTCTTATAAAACCAACAACTCATTTTAAGCTCTCAGTTCTACAGTTAAGTAACAGATTTACTTTTGTTATAAGAAAAGACAGTATAATGATCTTACTATTCTAACTTCTTTTTGTGTTTAAACTTCAAGGATACTATGAACATGTTTTGTGTTACATATCAGAAGACATTTGAAGATAGTGATTATTTTAATATTTGTTAGCTGCCATTAAGTCATGACGACGTAAACTGTTCTATGATTTCATTTGACGAATTCAGCATCTGTACCAGATTGAAACATTTCAAGGAAAAAGACAATTTATTTGAAAAATGAACCGTTCTTGCGGTGACCGTATAATTTTGCGAATGAAGGATTTATATCCGAATTGTTTAAGTCTTTCTATTTATGTTTTCGGCTACATTATACCAGTGCTGGCGATATTTGTAGCTGCAGTTAATATTCTAGTTATCATAGTTTTCCAGAAACCGAATATTCGGTCACATACAACAATAATTCTGACATTGATTGCTGGAGCGGATATGCTTGGAATAATGTGTTCGGCTTCAATTAAAGCTTACCACTTTCTATTTGGACATTACATTGATCTTTTATCATGTACAATGGCTAAATTAACATATATATTCGGTGAAATATGTTTGGATATGTTCAGTATGTTTTCACTATGGCTGACAGTGTTGCTTTCATTCATACGATGCAAATGCATTAAATCTCCATTCAGTACACGATATATTCATACAAATAGGAGAATATTAGCATATGTTCTATGTTTATGGATTGCCGTGTGCATAGTACATTTGCCGTCTTATTTTATATTTGATTTTCAAATAATATCATTCGTTGATTACAAAACAAATATAACCCGAGTGACTTGTGGAATATTAGAGATAGATGGAGCATTCTTTAAATCGTGTTCAAGAAGGAAAGCACATGTGATAGTTGAAATGGTATTAGATTCCTTCTTGCCTTGTATATTACTTTTATACTACACCACAGTTATGCTTCTCGCACTAAGAGCAGCAAATAAGAGTAGATCTTCATTGCGACGAAATAATTCATCAATTGAAATGATTGTTATAGATATGGACTGTGAACGTCAAACTGATAAAATTGAAACCAAAGAAGCAAAAGCGAGTGTTACCGCAAGACAGGATCAGTTGGATGATAATCATTGTAATATTGTATCGCTTCATGACAAAGTTAGAAATATACACAATACGGAGAACGGTTGCGTTGAACACTTTTGTTGCACAAATATCTTCCAATGTTTTCTTTGTCACAAAATACATAAAAACAAATGTAAAACAGTGACGTCTGTAAAGGATCAAACAATCGACAAACTTGATAATGAAAGCAGGAGAACTTCTTGGCTTATCTTTGTCGTATCAACAATCGTTTTGTTGCATGAAATTCCACTGACTACTGCAAAAATATATACATTAGTCAAACATTCTAACGAACCTTTGCCGTTGTCAATAATTGGTTGTTTTTCTGTAATTCAGCAGCTATGGCAATTCATAACATATCCGGCAATTTTTCTCATTTCTACATGCATGAGCAGTTCATTTCGACAAGAACTCTGGAAAACGATAAGCTTGAATTGTAAACAAAGAGAACGACATTCAAGATCCTCTAACAAAGGGGTGTCATTTTTGAGTCCATGTTCAGTACGGAGATTAACAACAAGCAACAGGAACGAAATAGTCGATGGCCTTTCAAACAATGGTATACAAGACGACAATGATATGATTGACGTATCAAAAAGCAATAAACGAAAGGATGAATAACTGATGCTGGATGAGATAATATAAATGATTATTTTCGGCTTTTATTTGTCTGTATAATGATATACAGAATGTAACTCTAAATGATAGATCATTGATCGATTACAATGACAACATGTACTTAATGATCGACAAATCAAAAGCAACTAGTTTAGAGACATCGTAAGGTTGATGTGGAATATAGCATTTTTCTTCTCCTCGTTTTGTCAAAATACAAACAAATATCCTATATTAACATCTTGCATAAATTAATAAATCTTAGAAAACTTCTACTGACATTAAATGTGTTTGATATACCTGTATTTTCATATCGATTACAATTACTATTCATCAGATTAGTTGAGATTTGTACAACGCAAGTAATACAAAATAATATCATAATATGTTCAGATTAAATGAAGGGGAAAGTTAAACATCCGAGTATTGGTTCTTAAGTAATAACATCTGGTCGGCAACGTTATCCTGACTAAAGAAAACAATACAGTTTCAAGTTATTTCATTTTTTCTAGTCTTCGCACAATGCGAATTAAAATGAAATATACCAAATATTTTGTCGTAATGAATTTGTTTTAATTGCAACTTGCAAAGATAATCAAATGAATGTATTTTTTTCATTTTTTTATCATAGATGCAGGGGCGGCTTGGCAAAAAAAAACACTTTTTGTTAGAAGATTTAAAGCTGCATGCCTCCAGATGAGCCAAAATATATCTCAAGAAACTTAAACTTCAATTTCAGAAAAATAAACTAAGATTTCTACTGCGTTATAAATGCAGTGAGAGTTATTTTTGCTTACTCTGGCATCTTTTTTTGTGGTAACTTACGTGTATTGTAAGTGCTGTTTGCATGTGCAAAATATTGTCTTTGTTCATTTCCAAATATTTTAATTTTAGATACGTTTTTTTTTTAAATTTTCATGACAATAGGCATAAATTTGGAGGCATGCTGCTTTAAATACCTTATAAATAAGATGATGCTTTTACATAAATATCAGGAACTTCCCATCTCTTACTTTTCTACATAACATATGTCTAATACGTTCATAGAGAAAAGCTTTATTATCCTATCTAATTTCATTACTTTTCTCTGATTCTAGATTAAAAGCGTTATAGATCTATTAACGCTCATTTCTTTCTACAGTACAATATCAGGTTAATTACGGCAAAGTTTCTTATAGGATGTCATTTCAGCATGGTATCTCAGACGTATTCCTTATTTAATGGTGTTTCTCTAGGGGAGCAAATTTCGTTCAGGCTTGATCATTTTCAAATTATTTTGTCAGCTTCATTGTTAACGAGATTTGAGATAGTTAAAAAGAATGTAGAAAAGAATTAACAGAATTAGCGAGCGCCTAAATCTTGTAGGTGATATCAAAAGCCTGTTTAAGTGAAGTGTTCTATAATTGAACGTCTGTAATACATAAATAATAACATACATGATAAAATAATTTAGTATCATATGTAACAAATAACAATAAACGAAATCTATAGCTTGCTGAGAACCTGGTGTCAAATGCCTGCATATTTTAGTTTTTCTTTCATTATGTAAGCGTTTTATTATATCATTTGTACAAAAAGTGACTATTTTTGTATTTGTATGTGCGCATCATAATGTATTTCATGTTAATTATAAACTTTCCATCATTAGTCATGTGTTGTTGTTGGTAAAACCACTTTACTAACCGAAACACAAACTGGATAAATCGTTTATTTATTTTCCTACTCATGTAACGTTCTATCATTAGTCATCTGCTGTAAATTTTCTTTAATGACTAAAACATGTACTTTTAGAAAGTATGGATATATCGAGTCAACAGCTCTATAACATAAAATATTTACTGTCGAATCAAATCATTTGTGTTGGTTGTATCTTCTCGTACCATACTAAAGACATTTTATTTTGGTTTGTACAAAACAATCAGGATAAAATATATTGAAACGTGCAAGATATATAAAATGTCTTCTTTCTGAAAAAAAAACACACACGACAAGTACGGAATACTCAGAGTTAAGGAAACAACAATATCAATCTTAACTAAAGACAGGAACTTCCTAATTTGTATCCGTGTGTGAGAATATCTTTTAATGACTTCTCATTTGTCAAAAAAATGTCGAATAATTAAACGAATAATATAACTGGTAATAATCCAGCCATATGTTTCTCAATAAATTATGCGACGGTTTTAATAACGGAAAAGTTAAGATGACAGTTGACTTGATATGAAATTCATTGGATTAATTTAAATTTAATTTGACGTTATTTTCTTAGGGACCATGCACCTCTTTTCATGGAATGGCACCGACGAGTCATATTGAACGTTCTGTGATCACTGCCGCGTGAATAGATATGTGGATGTTTCTAAATTCAAAATTTCACCATAATATGCTTGCGGACATGGACGGTAGCTCGCAATTACGTGGATTTCCATGTCCATATGTTCAACCAAATGTTTCTGTATACATGTGACCGCTGTATGTATGCATACTGTGAATAATAAATTTATTTTAAAATCCTTTCAGTTGCGTATATGCGACATTTGCCACTCAAAATTTATTTTTGTTAGTCGAGGTCTATAGTAAAACTATATGTATGTATAAAATTGGTATCATCGGTACGGAAAACCTGCAAAGATGTTCTTCAGATTCTGGTACACTCAGATGTAGTTAAATTATTCATCACATGTTCGATTTGTCCGTTCAATAGAGAGACAATGACACAGTTAGCATGACTTCTGGAATGTTTAGGTTAGGGCAGCGATGAGTAAATGTCCATCTTTATGATAACGCTATTATGTAAATGATATAATGTTATTTACATAGTTGTTTCTTAATATTACATTCTTGATAAAATGCGACTATAGGACTGTCTTATTACTTTTTGTGACGACTGATAAATTCCATAACCAACTAGCATGTATTCTTCCGATCGAGATAATTAGTTTCTATGTTACTGACAGCTTTAGAAAAGTTTAGCAAACTATTATATTAGAAACAGCGATTCTTGTCAGGAAAATTATATGACATGAAAATGTAAGGACACGTTCATCCAAAAACTAAATGTCTTTCAATAGGAAAACTTACAAGGCAGTTCTATTTTGTTTCTATCCAATGCAAACTTAGTATTTTGATTTTGTTCTAATAAGTGAAAACTAGGGGAACACACTGGTCAGTACTCTACATTAAAATCAAAGCACTGAATGTACTGATGGGGAGGCTATGAGAGAATGTTTCAGACTTATAGTTTCTTTTCTTTTTGCTTAAAATATGCTACCAAAATAAAAAGATATGCACATTGCGCTATTTATCCTTACTGTTGTGTTCAACCATTCATATATATGGTTAATGAGGTTGACTATTCATTTTGTTAATATTCCAGAACATTTAATTAAGGTCTACATTCGGACTGTTAATCATGCAAATTTTGAAAAACCTAAACTGTCAATAATAAATGACATACCAGCAAGTATGACGACTGTTCATTATCAGATAACAATAACATTTTACAACTGACGGTTCCTTATCAAAATATTCTAGGACTGTTCATCATAAATATTTTATGTCATTTTAATATTATTGAATGATAATAACAACTGCAGTGATGCAACATTTTTATTGAACATAAAAATTATACACGTTTAGATGTACCATAATTGAGATCAATAAGATACTGTCTTGTGATGAGTATTAACATTCATGCTCTACGGACAGAAGGTTGTCTTCTTCAGAAGCAAATCTCGAATAAAATCACGTTTCAGAAAATTAATCCCATTTCATTACTGACGGCGTCGGATAATATTAAAGCTAAATATTTCTTGAAAAAATACATCTCTGCAAAGCTTATTCAAAACTGAATCAACCTAAGTGAAAATTGATCAGGAAGTTATATCTTCTTTTTTACCGCCAACACTCAACACTCAACCAACTTATGGTAGTTAATCGATAGATTCTACGTGTATTTTTAAACCTCACTAGCTTGAAATATATACTGCGGAAAATCTGTTGTTAACAGGGTGTGCGGTTATTACGTAGGGTTTTCCCTGTCGACCATTTCCCGCAAATAAATGAGAACATCGAAGCCGTTAGTGCTATGAATGGTGTTATAAATGGCGTGTTTTGGAAGTTTTTGTTGAAACTTCTCCAAATACCTCCAGAGGCGTGCACGTCGCGGAGAAGGCACACGGAAGGTCATAGTCAAGTCATCATAAGTACCAGAGGTGATTGGTTGACCTGTCGTGACTTACTCTGGAGGTTTGGCGCTAATAGATGCCGTTTTTGTTGTCGTCAGTCAGAAAGTTGATGCCTTGACGGTATTGTCGTCTCCTTTACCACCAAAGAACGAAGAATGGGCTTCCAGGAAGAATCTGCTTGAAAAAGACGTCCCAGATGCTATAATCTCGGACATATGGTTATTCCGGCGCCGAGTATAAATAAACTTAAAACACACACACTTTTGTTGAAAACAAAACAACATCACATTTTCTGTAGTAATTTTTCAAGTGTTGTAAAATGAATAAGAAATTCCTCTTATGCCGCCCATTATTTTTAGAACACAACCATAAAAGTTCTTTTTTTTTTTTTTTTTTCAAATAAACATTTATCACTTCAGCGCGAGCAAATATCGGTTTCAAATTAAAGTTTCGTAAGATATGTTAATGACTTCCCGATGCTCGACTGTAAGTAATTTGTATATGTATGCGGTTTTTTTTGTTTTTTTTTTTTTTTTTTTTGTTTTTTAATTAAAGCTTCTTATTCTTTAATATTTTTTATGTATCTCATAATATGTATTGAAAATTTGAATTTTATTACAAATGGACTATCAAATTATGATGTATGCCCTAGAATTGAATAAACTTTCTAATTACACAATACGGGTCATACTGATCTTGCGTCTTTCTCTGAAATACTTATTTCCTTGTTAAAACATATTTGACCACATATTTCTGTCAATTAACTGTTCACTTTACTTCCGATTTTGTTGTACGGAAACACATGTTTCTATTTGTGTTTTCTAATCAATTCGAATCTATAATCAGTTTAATGGGATCACCACCGGGTAAACGACTACTAGGTACTTTGGTCATGTTTTTTACCACAAATATTTGAATGTTTCTATGGGATTAAAATGAGCATAGTTAACTAAACAACTGTTTGTATAAATTCCTGACCTGTCTAATTCTAATTATGAGATTAGTGAATATATAAGACTTTCACTACAAAATATTCCTAAACAAAAGAGCACATGTTTAAATTTATTCCTATACAAATAAAAGATCAGAGTAGGGATCTGTCAATTACCAAAGATACTTTTATGTTAAAAGTTTGATTAATGAATTATGTAAGATGAAAATATAAGTATTGCTTTTTTTATTTTGCTAATGTAAAATGTAATATTGTGCTGGGATTTTGTCGGAGGTCCTTAGGGGTTTTGTAGTTAAATAGTTTTTTTTCGGCGATAATGGTTAAAGAATAAAATGTTTTTAAACTATATGTTCATCACCATCAGTGAATTTTTAGTTAAATGTATGCAAAATATTTACTAAACAGCTATATGATTTAGCGGTTTATGAGCGTTTTCCGCGTACAGCCTCCTGGGGTGTACAAATAAGTTAGTTTTCCTTAGTTATCACGCAAGCATGATCCATGTCTCTGATGTAAGCGACAGTTTACAATTATTTGTCTTTAAAAAATATTAAGGACTATTAATAGTTTATAACAACAAAAGCACATGCATGATATTGAGAATACGTAGTTGCAACGTTCTAGTTAATGACCCGTCATAAACAGTTGGTCGCTGCGTAGTAATTGGAAAATTGTTATCAAAAATAATAAAGAATATTTGCCACTGAATTAAAGCATTTACTTATAAATTTTCATTTATGCTTTTTGTTAAAAAAATATGGATAAAGTTATTATTTTGAAGGGTTTTCATACCAGAACTATTTAATACAGACGTACGTAATATGCCTAAACCTGATTACCGCGGCAGTATGACGTCACGGAGTAGTGATTTAAACAAAAATCAAGAATTTTTCAGAGAATTATTATCTTTACAAATTGCAGATATGAAATTAAAGAATGAAAATATTTTCATATTGTAAATGTCTGTGATGAGTGATGAGTCAGCTTAGAAAAAATCAAAGTACTATTTTTTGACCTGATTACCGTGGCAGTATGACGTCACGGAGTAGTGATTTAAACAAAAATCAAGATTTTTTCAGAGAATTATTATCTTTACAAATTGCAGATATGAAATTAAAGAATGAAAATATTTTCATATTGTAAATGTCTGTGATGAGTGATGAGTCAGCTTAGAAAAAATCAAGGTACTATTTTTTGACCTGATTACCGCGGCAGTAAGATTTGACAGACAGTTATTAACATTGGGTCGGCATAGCCTCCCCAAAAACCCGTCTCGAAACAGTATAAAAATAGAACATGTCCTTAGCAATTGAATGTCTAATTCTGGCTTGAAGGCTCTTATCCTTCCAATTTTCCATGCTACATATATGTATAACCAACAAACTGGATTGGAGTGAGAGATCACTTAGAGCTTAGCTTCTATGCATACTATTTATACCAATTTATGAAACGTTATATTTTCAAAATCAAATCAGTAAAGGGGAATTAATGGAATTGAAATTGATAGACGTTGTCTACTCTCCTATGATGTATAAATAAATAAATTATCTTCTAAGCGCTCATTTAAGTCTTAAAAAATCTATTTTTTTATAAAAATGTTGCTGTTTTTTTTTAATTTTATTATGCCTATTTTCTTGTTAACGGCTTATAGTTTACAAATAAATATATCTGAGCCACCATTTACTTCTTGAAAACTGATACAATTTTAGTGATTTAAAAAAAATATGATTTAGTATTTTGTATTGAAGTCGAAATAGCTTTGTATTTACATTTAGCTGATCTTCAAACATTGCTACATTTTTCAGCCCATAATCATGAAATATTATTGAAACATTTTTAAAACACCTATTTTTCCTTTGTAAGGAATAACTTTTTTATTCATTTCTGAGGCTTTATGAACTTATAACAATATATACATGTATTTACTGTTTTTTTAATTCACTAATTCAGTGTAGACTTTCTCCTATTTGTCATTTATGCACGTTTTCCTTCATATTCAAATTAAAGCTTGCCAAAAGGTGATCCAAAACATATCTGAAGATGTTGTTTCAACAAATGTTTCTCATTTGATAGGAAATTAAATTTGTTCAGATGTTAAAGGGAACTGAAGTGCATATATATAAATGATGTTTTGAACAAAAAAAATTATTAGAATTTAATTATTTGACATTTGTCATTATCATTGTCCACTAGCCGACAACAGTATCAGTTTCTCCTCCTCTGAAAAATAAATGAAATGAATATTGAAGAAATTTTTTAGACATAAGTAAAACCGACGTTAAAGATCCAGAAGCAAAGCCGATTATTATTCATAGATAATATCAGAGTTTATCTTAAGGAATATTTTGTCGTATAAGCTTTTCGAAGCATTGTGTTTAGCTAAGAGGAGCGTTTGAAAATTGATATCTCACGAGACCGATGGTCAAGCGAGATATGAATTTTCCCCATGCTGCGAGTAGCAAAATAATGGCATCAGAAAGCTACTTGTATAACAACATAAATTCCTGTTTTTATGCCTATTTATGACAAAAAAGTTTCAATTTACTGGACTTCTATTAGATATTACAAAAACGGAAAACATGTGCAGCAGTTTCTTGAATGCGATCATAACATTTATTAAACTTACATCGTGAAAATATATTACAAAGTTAAAACCTTATCTTGCAGACTGGTTGACATTTATAATCACACATAATATCTCCCCACCGATAATCAAATGGTCCCCAGAATAAACCGCAGTCCTGGTTATTTCCTAGATCTGGCTGGGAGGGGTCCCAGTCAAAAAATGTCGGAGTCGAATCGCTGGTATACCAAACCCATTTGCCTTCAATTTGCTCATCTGTTAGCCCTATCCAGTAGCAATGGCCTAGAAAATAATACAGAAAATATGAAATATTCTTATTATGAATATGACATAATTATCACGACCAGATTTTTATTTTTTTTTCAAGTTCGACGTCAATATGCCTTATTATGATGGGTCTACTAAAGTATCCTGCTACTAATAAGAATTTGTTGGCTCATCACAAGTATCTTTTAAAAAGAAAACTCCATTGGTAGTTTGCAAGGTCGCCATCTTCGCCTATATTTCAAAACGTTAAGGTTTAACGTCGTTGAAGGCTACAGAAGCTGAGAATGATCCGTCGAAAGACGATGGATCTCTGTAACCAAATTGAATACAGCACTTGTAAAAGTAAGTGAATTTCTGTGAAAGAAATATCCATTTGTACTGTCATATTAGTGGCAAAAATAGCTGCTGTACTGAAAAGAGAGAAAACTTTTGTGCACATTCTTGAGCACAGAGAAGGACTGATATAGAAGAAGTAAACACAAAAGATTTGTTTTAAAGGCCAATGTATTGTAGAAAATAAAACCTTTTTCCCCGAGTATCTTATCAATCAAACGCTCCTCTCACAAGTTTATGTGACTGTTCAGAGTTTTTCTAGCTCTGTCGTTTTATATCAAATTGGAACTAAATAAGGGATATAGGTAAATATTTTCCGGATAATAGTTTTGGAAGCCCATTAGAGACCTAACTTAGCATAGCTCTCTTTTAACATGCTAGACTATTTACATGGATGGATTACGAATCTTTTAAGGTCGAAATACAAATTTTAAGACTTAAATGTTTTCATAGTATGTATTGCATTTGATATTAGTTTAACACAGTTAAATAGAATAGAATAGAATTTATGCAAATATCTTGCATCTGAGGAAATGTTGCACCAAATAGCGAATATAACACAAAATGTTAGTGGTATTCATGCAAGTTTGGATAGAATTAAACTAATATGTTTTAGAAGTTTGACAACAGTGACGTGTTTCAGTATTATAATCTATTATAACTGGCCTGTTGCGGTAAACTTGTTAATACATGTACACATAAGACAGGAGCAAAATTAAATGAATTAACCCAAAGTATCCATTAAAAAAGTAGGCTCAATTTATGTGTCACTTACCTCCGAATCCTCTTAGAAAGTCTTTGAGGAAAAGGTTTTCTCCCTTAGACCCTATATCTACCAAATGTCCACTATGATGTTGTCGACAAAAATTCTACATAGAATAAAACTTGTGTAAAGAAAGTGTCACATAAAATTTGTTTGCTTTCAAAATCGAAATTAATTGTTGATATGCATTCGTACAAATGAGGTCAATAAACTTATTTCATTACAAAACATTTTATTTGTTATTCAAAAGAATGTGTATGATGTGAAGTAACGCAGATTAATAAACATTACTCATATTTATATTCAATTATATGACAACTATTTTAAGAACAAAAAATTGACAGCATCAGTTACAGACCTCAGTATCTACATACGTGTGTGTCACACCATGTCCAAACAGATAACATGATCCTTTGTAGGCAACCCAGCCATCAGATCAGTCTGTACACTCAACCAATCCTGAAATAGCTAAAATAAATATAACATTTATGCTGCACTGCAGCTGATTGTTTTTTAATTACAACAGACTAACATTTCTTAAAATTAAATAGCGCTAATAAAGAAATTATTAAAAAATTGCTTCAAGAAGATAGAGAGGATGACTTTATAAATTTACAATGTATTCTATGACAGCGAATACAGTACTTAATAATGTAGTCGAATAAAATTGTTGCTAAACCGTTACAAGCGCTGGCATGAGAAACGTATGGAACAGAATTTATGCATTTATTCTATCTTGCTTGATGACATTGGAACTTGCATTATGCTTAATTCCATCTTGCTTGATGACATTGGAACTTGCATTATGCTTAATTCCATCTTGCTACATGACATTAGAACTTGCATTATGCTTAATTCCATCTTGCTTTATGATATTTAAACTTTGCATTATGCTGGATTCCATTTTTCATTATTTCATTCAAACATTTCGTAATGACAAATTCTTTCATTGAGTGATAAATATGAAACTGGAACAAGCCATTTGGAATACTAAAATGTTAACGTCTGTGGCGCCGTTATATGTCGCAACGCCGCTAAATGTCGCACTTGCCGCTAAATGTCGCACCATTCCCGCTAAATGTCGCAACCGCCGCTAAATGTCGCAAAATAATTTGCCGTTAAATGTCGCAATGTTAGCGTTAAATGTCGCACGGATTTCCCCTACCGTTAAATGTCGCAACACTATCGTTAAATGTCGCAAGACGTTGAACTATTATGTTATATCAATTAAATCTGCCTACTCAAGGCGAATTATGTCTGTTTGAAAACGAGTGATTTTATCATATATGGAAATGCGCTGCAAATAATACAACGATTATACTCATATTATAAATAAATGTATATTGTTTTGCGTTCGATTTTTACCTGATCTTATACAAGTACATATTGATAAATTAATTATACAATTGTCTACCATTTGTATGAAACTGCAAAATTTACATTGTTATGTAAATAGTTTTGTACAAACATGTCTGTAAAATTAGCAAAAGAGACAGCCTAACGGCCAGTCTGAGTTTGCAGAATGATGGCCTAGTAGGCTGAGGAGGCAAATCGTCTCGCAGCCGGAAGAGGAAGCCTAAATTGCTGACGACATGGGCCTTAGGAGTTTGCCTAACGCCCTAGAAGTCGGCAGCCCTGCATCCTAAGAGACAACCTGGTATGTGTTAGATAGAATCTGGTACAGAAGTCAACGTAGATAAACATAAAATGATCAAGGAGTACTACACGAATGCTAAGTGCAAGATTTCAAAATGGCCCAAAACACTTCCCATTTCGAATAAGACCAAGGTTGTTTGTCGATTTTCGTGTTGACCGTGCATTTCATACTGTGCATTTTTTCACGTATTTGCCGTTTCTGTTAAAATGAAATTTTTGCCTTGATATACAATCAATATTTCAAGTTTGAAGTGAATATTTGTGATGGTTTTGGGGAAAAAATATAAAAAGGGAGATAATTAAGCAAAAATGCCTTTCAAGATCTTTCCTTTAGAATACATTTTACTTTTATATGAAATAAGTATTTTATGTTTAAAGTAAATATGTTTGAACTTTTTTGAGCAATTAGCCGTAAGCAAAAGGTTAATCAAGGCGAAAACATAATCGAAAACTTAACCAAAAAGGTTAACCAACGCCGAAAAGAATGAAAAAAATTCATTTCTCAAAATCGTTCAATCGGGAGGAAATAAAGTTAGCAGTCATTTGGTCACGGAGGCCCCTCATACCTTTTGATATAATGCAAATATTGTGTTAAATCTGGAGATGACATATCAGTTATAGAGGAAAAACTACAATATAGCCTTAATATGATTATTAAGTGGTGTAAAATAAATAATATGCTTTTACACCCTAAAAAAAACTAAAAGTATGCTGGTAGGTAGTAGACAAAAGCTAAAGATTGCAAAAGCAGTAAATTTGAAAATTAACGACTCAACTCTTGACAATGTAGAATCACAAAAACTGCTTGGTATTTATGTTGAAAATACACTCAATTGGCACTGTCAGGTAAATGATGTGTGTAAAAAATTGAACTCTAAAGTTAATTTATTTAGGCGTATAAAGTACTTTTTAAATGAGGAATCTCGTATGCTTTTTATTAATGCATACCTTCTTCCTATTTTTGATTATTGTTGTAATATATGACGAAAAGAAAACAAAAAATATATATATGCCAAATATACAAAATACAAACACGAATTTGCAAAATTATTCTAGACCTTCCAACGAGAAACCAATCAGAAAATTTATACAAAAGATTAAAAATATTGCCTTTCAAGAAAAGATGTATTTTTCACACCGGTGTCCAAGTATATAAAGCACTGAATAATATGTCCCCTCAATATATCCGAGACTTACTTACCATATCTAATAATCAAAAGTATAATCTAAGAATAATATCTCACGGAAATTTAATTTCGTCTTACAAGCCACGTACTAATTATTTTAATGACACATTCCAATTTAATGCCATGGTTATTTGGAATTCCATACCACTGACTATAAAAAGAAAAACAAAATTGTTAATATTTAAGAATAGTTTCAAGAAATACTTATTTAATCAACTTTAGCACGGTCCGTATGTATTATATATACAAGATACGCTCTTTATATTCATACATGTGTTTTTTATTATTATGTTTTCTAATAAAGGGTGTCTGTCTTAGTTTCAAGTTTTTTGACTGTGTTAATTTTGTAAGTTAATTTTACTTTTTAAATTGCAGATTAAAATGATGCACTGATGAAAGTATTATGTTTAATGATAAATAAAATGAATTGTATGAATGTTCAGTATATGTGTTAATATATGTTAAAATTGTGATAACCATTTAATCATTTCTTTTACATGTAATATTTTCTTTGATTGATATGTGTTCTTTTGTGTGTGTGTTTTTGTTTTTATTTTTTTTATTTTAGAAGGCCGCATTGTAAATAAGATGGTGCAGTCTGTATATGTCTTAATGTGTTACCTTCGGTAAATAAAGTTTTATTATTATTATTATTATTATTTATTATTATTATTATTATTATTATTATTATTATTATTATTATTATTATTAAACAATAGCTGAAAGTAATGACATATGAAATACAAATATCTTATTTGACATTCAAGTATAATCTTTCATAAGCATCAGCTAAATTGTTATGTCATTGGTTTACTGTATAAATTTTGTTTAGTCTTTGGGCCCCGGATCAGCGGGTTTGAGTGCTATATTTTCCTTGAATACTTTAGTTGTTCAGATGTGTGTTGAGGAACATCAGTAATTGATAAAATAGAGAAAAAAAGAACCCCTAAAGAATGTCCAAAACGGCAAAATTGAAAATGTTGCAGGTTCCGTTTGATAAAGCCCAAATTAACACTGTCCCGGTACTGGCCGGCCACGGTATCGCGTACTGTGTCTTAAGTCAGTGAACCGGGGTGTTCCGTGGTGTTTTTCTGAGAAATCAAATTGCGTTTACACACCCCGACAGAGCCCAGGTGTATTCCATGTTCAGAGCCAGATATAGCACCGGATATATAGGATAAGCGCCGATGCTAAATCGGTGTATTCCTGCTTGATTCCGGTGGAGACCCGACTTGACACGGTTTCATCACGGTCAATCCCGACCATCGCCGATTTTGCCACGGTAACGCTACTTTTAATGCCTGTACTGTCCCGGTGACACGTTAATGCACCGATGCTGCCGGTTCAAGTTTATGAGAATAAAACTGCCTGACCACGTTGACATCAGTCATTTGGTAAAAACTCAGCAGAGATGCCATCCAAAGGAAAGGGGATGAAAGTTAGAAAAAAACTGTGCCTACAACGCCTACAGAGCTTGAGGTACCTGAAGCTGAAAATGCGCCAGCCGAAGATTTTTTCCTACTCTCATTTAACAAATTGTCCATGCTCGTGTACCTTCTCTAAACAAAATGATCCAAAGTAGCACTTCTATGGCATGTTAAACGTTGCAATATTCAATAAATAATTTTTTTGTTCTATATCCAATATTTATATTGCATAACTCAAATTTTATATTGTATACCATAATATTTATTCATAAAAAACATTTGTGTGCGATAATTTTCTATTTATATGTTCTATATTTGAAAATATATATTGTATAATAAAAAATATTTATTGTATAGATCTACTGAAATCTACTTATTCGATAATTTGAATCATGGGATAGAACACTTAGCATACTAAGCCCCGCCTATAAAGTGAGCACGAATGACTGATAAAGCGTTATCATCCTGATTAAACTGTGGAAATGATCAGCGTCCCTGTCACTTAATTGTAAATACATGTAGTGCATATGCTTAATCCTCCTTAAAAATGTATATGTATATGTAATATTGGAAACAGATTTTAAAGTCTTTAGCACAGGCAATCGTATAAATAGAGGATATTGAATGAGTGTAGGTTTAGTACTAAATTTATTGAACTCGTTGAATAAAACAATTTATTACTCGCTTTTCGGTGGTTTATAGAAATATATCAGTGAATGTTTTAAATATTTGATAAGCAGAGTATGAATTAAAAAGTATCAAGTTGAAAACATTACTTAAATACCAGCTTAAATATATTGGTGTGAATCTGGGACTATTTTCTGAGAGTGCATTTTTTGCCGACACAAATTAATGGTATACATGCAGTCATGTACATTCAAAATAATTCTTATTTTTTATGCCTTTACATTTATTTTGAAATAACATAGATTTATATTGTTGTTTTTCTTTGTCTAAGTAATGCTTAAATCAAAATGATTTTTAATAAACCAGTATCTTGCAATTAAATATTACGCAGCCGTTTTTCGAAAATACAGAATCCTTACATTTTTGAACTTCAAAATATCTTTTGGGTATTGTATATTAGCAGACACATAGATGCATAATCTATATCTCTGGTATTAGCAAGTTAGTACGATTTAACTGACTGGTAAAATTTTCATTATAAAGAATCTAACGAAAATGGTAATCATGATCAGTTACCCAGCAATATGGTCTACTATTAAAACAAATCGTTAGCCTTATAATATCTTATTCAATTACACAAAATTTTGGCAATTTCAATCTGCCAATCTTACAAGAGAAAGGATTAAGATCTTTATATCCCTCAATTATTGTACTTAATCGTATCGGCATTGTCCACCGTATCCCCAAATGACGTCTTCCAAGGGCGACAACTTGAATATTAAATGAAAGGGTCTATAAATTTTGGAAAAAAAAACATCAATTTTACGAGCCTACCGTTCGAAAACCATTTGACCAATTCCAATGAAAATTCGATTTTGTACAACTTGAGAGGGTCTTCTTTGAACGTTATAAGGCCTAAAGCCCTAAACCCAAGTAATATGTACAGGAGATTTCCGCGTGGCTTGGTCATTTTTTGCACAGGCGAGTTGTTCTTTCTCTATATAAATTTCGAGAAAAAAAAACATCAATTTTACCAGCCTACCGTTCAAAAACCGTTTGACCAATTCCAATGCAAATTCGATTTTGTACAACTTGAGAGGGTCTTCTTTGCACATGAAAAGGCTTAAAGCCCTAACCTAAAGAACATTTCCAGGAGATTTCCGCATGGCTTGGTCATTTGTTGCACAGGCGATTTGTTCTTTTTCTATATAAATTTCGGGAAAAAAATCAATTTAACGATCTAACCGTTCAAAAACCGTCTGACCAATTCCGATGCAAATTCGATTTTCTACAACTTCATAGGAACTTCTTTACACGTCATAAGGCCTAAAGCCCTAACCCAAGTATTATGTCCAGGAGATTTCCGCTTGGCTTGGTCATTTTTTGCACAGGCGAGTTGTTCTTTCTCTATATAAATTTCGGAAAAAACATCAATTTTACGAACCTACCGTTCAAAAACCATTTGACCAATTCAAATGCAAATTCGATTTTGTACAACTTGAGAGGATCTTCTTTGCACCTGAAAAGGCTTAAAGCCTTAACCCAAAGAACATTTCCAGGAGATTTCCGCGTGGCTTGGTCATTTTTTGCACAGGCATTTTGTTCTTTTTCTATATAAATTTCGGGGAAAAAAACATCAGTTTTACGAGCCTACTGTTCAAAAATCGTTTGACCAATTCCGATGCAAATTCAATTTTGTACAACTTTGGAGGGTCTTCTTTGAACGTTATATAAGGCCTAAAGCCCTAACCCAAGTAATATGTACAGGAGATTTCCGCATGGCTTGGTCAATGTTTGCACAGGCGAGTTGTTCTTTCTCTATATAAATTTCGGAAAAAACATCAATTTTATGAGCATACTGTTCAAAAACCATTTAACCAATTCCAATGCAAATTCGATTTTGTACAACTTGAGAGGGTCTTCTTTGCACATAAAAAGGGTTAAAGCCCTAACCTAAGTAATATGTCCAGGAGATTTCCGCGTGGCTTGGTCATTTTTTGCAGAGGCGATTTGTTCTTTCTCTATATAAATTTCGGAAAAAACATCAATTTTACGAGCCTACTGTTCAAAAACCATTTGACTAATTCCAATGCAAATTCGATTTTGTACAACTTGAGAGGGTCTTTTTTGCACATGAAAAGGCTTAAAGCCCTAACCCAAAGAACATTTCCAGAAGATTTCCGCATGGCTTGGTCATTTTTTGCAGAGGCGATTTGTTCTTTTTCTATATAAATTTCGGGAAAACAAAGATCAATTTTACGAGCTTAACGTTCAAAAACCGTTTGACTAGTTCCAATGCAAATTCGATTTTGTACAACTTTGGAGGGTCTTCTTTGAACGTTATAAGGCCTAAAGCCCTTACCCAAGTAATATGTCCAGGAGATTTCCGCGTGGCTTGGTCATTTTTTTGCACAGGCGAGTTGTTCTTTCTCGATATAAATTTCGGAAAAAAAAAACATCAATTTTACGAGCCTGCCGTTCAAAAACCATTTGACCTATTCCAATGCAAATTCGATTTTGTACATTTTGAGAGGGTCTTGTTTGCACATGAAAATGCTTAAAGCCCTAACCCAAAGAACATTTCCAGGAGACTTCCGCGTGGCTTGGTCAGTTTTTGCACGGGCGATTTGTTCTTTTTCTATATACATTTCGGGAAAAAACATCATTTTTACGAGCTTACCGTTCAAAAACCGTTTGACCAATTTCGATGCAAATTAAATTTTGTACAACTTTGGAGGGTCTTCTTTGAACGTTATAGAGCTTAAGCCCTAAACCCAAGTAATATGTCCAGGAAATTTCCGCGTGGCTTGGTCATTTTTTGCACAGGCGAGTTGTTCTTTCTCTATATGAATTTCGGAAAAGACATCAATTTAACGAGCCTACCGTTCAAAAACCATTTGACCAATTCCAATGCAAATTCGATTTTGTACAACTTGAGAGGGTCTTCTTTGCACATGAAAAGGCTTAAAGCCCTTACCCAAAGAACATTTCCAGGAGATTTCCGCATGGCTTGGTCATTTTTTGCACAGGCGATTTGTTCTTTTTCTATATAAAGTTCGGGGAAAAAACATCAAATTTACGAGCTTACCGTTCAAAATACCGTTTGACCAATTCCGATGCAAATTCGATTTTGTACAACTTTGGAGGGTCTTCTTTGAACGTTATAAGGCCTAAAGCCCTAACCCAAGTAATATATCCAGGAGATTTCCGCGTGGCTTGGTCATTTTTTGCACAGGCGAGTTGTTCTTTCTCGATATAAATTTCGGAAAAAAAACATCAATTTTACGAGCCTGCCGTTCAAAAACCATTTGACCTATTCCAATGCAAATTCGATTTTGTACAACTTGAGAGGGTCTTGTTTGCACATGAAAATGCTTAAAGCCCTAACCCAAAGAACATTTCCAGGAGACTTCCGCGTGGCTTGGTCATTTTTTTGCAGAGGCGAGTTGTTCTTTCCCTATATAAATTTCGGGAAAAAAACATCAATTTTTAAGAAAACAACAGTCTTTAAGTTTCCAGGTTTAACTCAGACTGTGCAGTACATGGTTGTTTAGGGTTCAGTACTGAATTATTGAATACGTTGATAAAATATTACTTCTTTATTTAATTAACCAACGACTTAAATGAATTAAGTAATAGAAAATCACATATCCAAAATAAGTAGAGTTTACAGTCAAAACTAAAAAGAAATTACTGTAGGACCTATTTGGAGTCAGAATTAAAAATGTTCTAAACTTTGCATTAGAGAAAACCATTCACCGTTCTCGTTTTCAAGTTTTAACCCAAATCGGACAAGAATTACACATAATCGCGGATTTATATATTACATTGTAATTAAGATCCTTGAAAAAATAGCATTTATATCGAAATCATATATTTATTATATACCTATAAATGAAATATTGGGAAATTTTGATGAAATAAAACGCTTATTTTCATTTTCGTACTTCACTGTAAAAAAGTATTTTAGTGAAACATATTTTCTGTGTTTTCACTGGTGTCTTGCCTGACTTCTCTTTTTTTTTTAAATTTTGCCTGTACACAAAATTTAAGGAATAGTCTTCTAAATTGTAATTTAAAAATAGAGACAAATGTATATAATAAACAGAAAACTCAAGTTTTTTTCTATAAATACATGATTTATTTTCATCTTGTGGCATGAAAATTATTACATTTCAATCGTGGCTACCGCCACTCATGAAATGTTTATTCTCATACCACTTGATGAAAATAAATCGTGTATTTACAGAAAAAACTTGAATATCCCCTATATATTTTTAACAGCTTTTGTCCTGCAGTTTATCTAGTATGTAAGAATGTATTTTTTATGTGTTTAGGTTTTAGGACCACAATGGAGCTCCTTTAATTAACTACCTTAACAAACTTATATATTATAAACCGTTTTTAACTTTAAGGTCCCAGCTTCTTTCAATATTTCATTTTGATACCACTTCCAATTGTTCTTGCGTCTTAATGCTCGAATGACGAATAAAAACTGTTTCGCGCATGTCACGTGATGGTGTGCCAACCACGTTAACTTTTTGGTCTTTCCGAATTATCCAGGCGGGGAACAATAGTTTCATATAAATACATAGCAAATTAAATCGTGTGACTGAAAAGAGATCGGAAAATGTTTTGCTGGCGTCTTTAACGGATTTGTTTGGGTGAGAATCAATCAGTGGTTAAACATACAAGATTGTCCCCGAGCGCTCAAGATTCATGGTCAAGTGATTTTCCATGCACTTTACTGTTAGCTACATTTGCGTGAAGTTTGTGAGAGGGACGTGACGGAAACAAAAGTATGGCAGGTTTGGAATTGTTTCTTTTATTTTAGGACGTCGAAGAACTTTTTACAATTTGTTTGACACAAATTTAAATTTTCCATGAATAAGGACTTTAATTATAAATTATCATTAATCATAAGGATTATACATGTTAAACTTTCATTTTTTCATGTGACGTTTCGATCATAGTTATTTTTGACCATTATGATAATTGGCTTATGATATAAAACAAAATACAGATATGAATAATTGATAGTTGGCATATGAGGTCTAACAAAGTATTGACACGGATGATTGACGTGTGATATGTAAAAATGATGGCGATGTTGATGACAATGTTGTTTTGATGAGGACGTCCATGGGTGTTACAATGATGATGAAATGACGTTCATCAGGTAAATTTAGTTATTTATAGAAACGAGCTTTTTTTAGAAACTAGTTATTTTTAGACAAATGAGTTTTAACTTTTCTTAGTAAGTTTTATCAGTTTCAGAAGATGAAATTTCAAAAGGAACCAACGAACTTGCAAGTAATCATACTATATCAGGCCATGCTTGTGGAATAAGGACAGCACACATTATGCAACGTTAAAACAGCATACTTATTTAATTCAATTTACATTTGGAAAATTTGATATTATAAGAAATTTGATATACATATAATACATGTAAATGGTATTATGTCAGTAACTGAAACTGCGTAGAATTACAAAATTTTATTTTAGAAATGAAGATTCTTTGTCAAAATTGAAAACTATGTTTTATGTTTATGTATATTGACGATATTTTGTGTGCATTGTTTATATCGATTTTGGTTGTTTTGGTTTCTTTCTCAATTTTTGGAGTTGGTGTGTGATTGGGGTTATTCGATTTTGGTTCGGTGTTTTAGTTTGTCTCTTTGTTGGAGTTGTTTTGAGTGTTATGGTAGTTTTTCTTTGTCTTTGTTGGAGTTGTTAATGTCATTTGTGTGTTATGGTTGCTTTTCTTTGTCGAAAATTCTGGTCTTATTTCTGAATAGTTTGGGAATTGGTGGTCGATAAGACAGTTGATTCTTTGCTGATACATTGTGATCGATTAAAAAATTTCGGATTTTGGATTTTGTTAAACATGTACATATACTAGTCGAATTATTATTATTCATCATTTCAAATAGTTATATCAATTTCATAAAAATGGGAGACACATTTATAGTTATATTGAATTTTTAGCTGTACAATACCCAATTTTGTATAATTATATTGATGTTTAATATTAATGTGATATTTTTGATAATTATATAAATACATAGGTGGAGAATGCGGCAATATATTAAAGATAACATTGATTCTTTTAGATTTAGAACGTGACATTTCTAATAATGATATTCGGGTGTTGAATGCGACATTTTTAACAATTATATAAACTGATTATTTTAGATGCAGAATGCGACATTTTAGACTAGTATAATATTATTGTTCTTTGGTTTTTCGTTTGTTTTCAGATGTCGTAAGAAAATATCACTGGATTACTTTTGAAAGACAAGACTAGATAAAATTGTATATTTCTAAATATTAGCACTATATAATTCATACTATTGAAGAAAAACGTTTATTGATCATTTAGCAGACGTAAAGCAGGAAATGGCGGGAAGAATCCTAGCAGACGACAGTTGTCGCGCAGATGCAATCATGCACCATATCAGACTGCCCGAAATTACAGGCTGGCCCAGCTCTATACTGGACTCGCTTTTAGCATGTTACAGTAGGGTTTGAAAAAGGAAATCATAACTTTGTAACGTATGTCTTGTCTACTTTTTGAAAAATAAACTTTCGTGTCAATGTAATAATTATGTTGACATATCATTATTGTCTAATTTTTCATAATGAACCATTTTTAGCCCAACTGTTTGAAAAACGAGTAAGGGCTATTTTAGTCACTTGGTCGTCTGTTCTCGTAAAACATTTCGTTTTGCATATTTTGTGTGTAACTTCCTACCTTAGAATTCATTATGATTGTGTAACGGGGAACATAATCTAAACACCTTTAACTTTAAACTACATTTTGATTTATATAATTACATGTATGCCACTTAGTCAGCTTGATTTAAAGCAGTCATGTCTAAAATAATTTAAGTTTACAATATATTCTTATCAAATGAGCATAATAATGTTGAGTTATGGGTCATTAAGAACATTTCAGTAATTTAAACAAATAACTTACAATTATTTTTAAAATGCTAAAAAATGTAACATTTGTTCGACCATGTTACCAATAGTGTATCCACAGGTAGCAGACGACAATAAATTTTAAAGTGGAAATTTGCGACTTCCGGTGTGTCTGCTACTCGATGTTATGATCTCAGTTACTTCCCCTGACGTTCAGTATATGAAATGAGGGTGGAGGTAAGTAAAGATATTTTGAAGAAATACAAAATTTAGCTAAACATAGAACAATACATTTTACAGATAAGGCTTTGTGAGTCGCTGATTACACCTTTAACTCCGCAAAATATTTTAAATGGACTTGCCCATCTTCAAATCTGGACAAAACCATTGTAACGTTCCGACATTTTACTTAGCTTTGTTTTGATTAAAGATTATCATTTACTTAAATGATTTTAGTGTTACTTGACTATTATGTTAATTGTTTATATTGAGACAATATATTTTAGTTTACGGTACTTTACAATATACGTTTAGTATACGTATTTTCAATAAACGTTTTATATCATATAATATAATAATCGTCTCAGTGATAGTGATCATTCTAATCAGCCAATGAAAATTAAGTCATGCTTGAGCGATCATCTCAGCAGGTATAAATACGGCGATTAGATCAAAATTATTCAGTCTGCAGAGGTATTCACCGGGACCAGGTTACTTTATGTAATTGAAGCCTCGCTTCATACATAGAGGATATTTTCGTCTACCTAACTGAAGCCTAGCTTCATAGGTAGAAAAGAAGAATTGGCCAAAACTAAATACTCTTGTTTATCCAATTGAAGCCTAGCTTCATGGATGTAGATGTAATATATTAAAGTTTGTGAATTGCATTTGACTCTGGGTACTTATAGATCTCCACATTTTCTGAAAGCCTCGCTATCAGGGAATTGGTAACATATAGGTATTAAAAATCCAGAGGTAGATTTAAAACGAATTAGATTTGTATAGTTGGAACTTTGTTATAGATCCCTACCAGCAGCTTATCTTCCTATCTAATAGAAGCCTCGCTTCATAGATAGGGAGGTGGTTGCTGGACTATAGGAAATTATCGGGTTGCAGCGTCATATCTATAGCTTTTGAATTATTTCATTGTGTTATAATTACAGTATTGTGACTTTTGATAATTTAATAGTGTATTACGGAATGTTAATTCAAGCTGATTGTTTATAATATTTGATCATTTAAGAATCATTTGTATCTAATCAAACGGCAGGTAGCCCAAAGAAAAATTTATTATATATTCGTTGTACATCCGCTCGGTACACGTTACACCATTACTCATTTTAAGGGAAAATTTCAAAATATAACATGTATGTAGTGACTTAATATCGAATAGTGCAGATCATGAGCAGATGTCAAGGATATGCCGACTGGTTTTGGTCGGCACTGGTCGCACAGGTACATGTATATGATGCTGGCACTAGAAGGCTGAGAGTAAATCAAAATATTGTACCACACAAAATATTCAGAAAGTACTAATTACAGTTCATTAATAATTACAACTTTTAATTTAGTACAATGTTTGTATTTTAAAAGCATGTTAATTTCAGATGGACCATGACTTTTTGTAATTATTGTTGAACATAATATAAAGACACTCGCCTCCTTAAAGTATTACAATCTAAATACAAAAAAATATACATTCAATAACTAAATTCACGAATAGGTAAAAGATATCGGCACTATTTTAGTGATTGTGCCGAAGGAAGGGAGATAAAAATATCTCTTATTATAATTATACCATAAAATATCATAATTATTTCTAATGCATAATGTGTATTTTGTAATGATCTGGTGACTTTGATTGTGACACTCCGATAACATCTTAATTTTCAACCTATAAATAGATAAAAAAATAACATATATTTCAGTTTCAGGATTTGAAATTAAGAAAGAACGAAAGATATGAAATGAGCACCGGCAAACTGATCTTGGCATGTCACATCCTTATCACAGAACTGGAACCTACTGATTATGATGAGGTAAAAGTATATTTAATGAATATATGTATAGATTTGTTTCTTAGCCTGCTGAAAGCGAAAGTCATTAGTCTTTGCCTCCAGAATAGAGCCCGGCCAGCCTGCACATTTGTGCAGTTTGACCAGCCTCTTTACTGTTTGCTAACTTCCAATTTTTATTTTCATGTGATAATTAGTTATAATAATTTATAATGGACTGTTCCTTAAATAAAATGTTGAAAAGTCCATTTAATAATTTCCGCAGGTTAAAGCAGCATGCCTCCAGATTCATGCCCATTCTTCATGTAAATTTTGAAAATGTATCAAAAAAAGAAAAATATAGTGTAGTGAACAAGGAAAGTAATTTACACATTACAAACAGCATTTACAGTCTACTTACATTACCAAAAAGGCCAAAATATACAATAATAGCCATTGCGTTAGTCACGCAGTAGAAATATGGTAATAAGAACTGCGACTTCGGTCGTTAAAGACATTTAGCACATAAATAATTACTTGAATCTTAAATCTTTTTACTTCTCTTAAAATCTGAGTACATTTTTCTTAAGTTTGTTTTTCTTGAAATATTTTTTATTCATCTGGAGGCGTGCAGCTTTAAAGCTTGTTTATAGCTCTTGAATGAGACGTGTATTCATTTGGTTCTGAAACAGTACGGCATTGTGAAAATTGTTTCATGTTCGGGTTTGATAAAAAAAATTTCTTTGCTTAACACAGAAGCAGTTACCTTTGTTGTTGTTATTCAGTTATGAATTGCTTTGGCTAAATAAATACATATACACCTACACTGGTATCGAACATTTTTCTTCATTATTCAAATTTGATAAAACTTTTGTAAGTTTTAGTTATAATAAAGGGCGTCCGTTACCGAGTGGTTGAATGAATTCATTGACTTCAAATCATTTTCACCCCCTCCCCCATTCCTTCACTTTTATGGGCAGCGACTTTGAATTCATGAATAGTCCTTTTTCCGCCAGTAAAGCTAAAAAAATATTATTGTACCGTCGAGACAGTAACCATTCACCTACTAAATTAGTGTAATTGATCTGCCCTGCATAGAATTTGGAACAGTCCATTTGAAGTTTATGGGATTTTAATGACAAAATACAAATTTGAGCACACGATAATACATAGCCTGGGCACGGAGTGCACGTATCAATAGGTAAAGGGTTAAACCCAACCAGAATAATTGAACCATTGCAGTTAAGAATATACTAGAAATAATAAGATAATCGTTTAATGACATCTTGAGTGAATAAAAGCTTTATGACCACTATTTGAGTAAGACGTAATTATTTGTTTATTGTATTCCTGAATTCTATTATCTGCATTTTTTAATAAGAGTATTGATAACATTGTTTTTTTTTTAATTTGGCGGTTCAACCCGTGCGCCTGCTGTCTTTTGCAAGTGAAACGCAAAGTGATACAAGTGATATGAATATTTTATACATTATACAAGTTAAATGTTGATGCTGACATCAAAGACGCCGCCAAATGATGTGAACAGTCAATCAGCATTGAAAATCGTTCTCTATTACTGTTGAATATCCGAAGCACAAATCATTTTTTTTTCTCCATGTTCTTGGTATGTGCTCGTTGTTTAATAATTAAGTTGCATATTTTTGTGAAAAAGTAGAACCTAATAGGTAATGCAATGTCTGAAATTCTGAAATATTTGTCTGTTGCGACAAAGATTGAAACGTCTGGTCAAAGCAAAATAAATCTTTGTTCATTTTTTCTGAAGAGTTATTTCTTAAACAGTTTGTTTGCTGGTATTAAGGTGTGCAGCTTTAAAGGAAGGCCCATTATGCCCCCAAAAATGTTTTTATTTTTATATCTGAAAAGCTTTTTATTTTTGGTATCCTATTATAGTTTCAAAACAGATATTCATTGGTCATTTATCTTAATAATCTTTTGTTTTTTTGAAAACAGTTTTAATGATTTAGTATTTTGTTCATATTCATTGGTCATTTATCTTAATAATCTTTTGTTTTTTTGAAAACAGTTTTAATGATTTAGTATTTTGTGTAGAAATTAAAATACGACTGTGTTTACAGTTTGCGACCTTTAAAACAATATTTTCACATTCAGCCATACTTTATTTTTCTAATAAGCATCTAACATGCTTTAAAGCATTATTTGAACGTTATAATACTTATGTTTGCACTGCCTAATGTAGGAAAAAATGATTTATTTCTGAGGCATAATGTGCCTTTAAGGAAAAACAGTTGATTCTAAGTTGAATATAATTTTTACAATGCAGGTGTATCGGTGGTCTTTACATTTCAGAAATACGGAACATGGTAAATTGAGCAGGTGAAGGAATGAAGAAAACACCACCCTCTTGACAGTCAGCAAAATAACTATGCTTTGTTACGGTTTGGAACTACTGCATGCCGTTACAACTTAATATGTGACAAAGAGATTTTAATCCACCTGATACGATTTGGTATCTTTCTGAAAATGTCATGTTCAACTTCTGAATGGTTTTTTTTTTTCTGCCAAATTTAAGAAATATATTACCATGTAACTGTCTAATATTTTTGGCAATTATGAAGTAATAGTGAGTTTTTGGCGTAGTAATAAAAACCATAAAAGGTGTTAGCTCGATTGGATTTTCTACATGAACTTAAAAAAATAACACCTTCATAAATGCCTTGATGTGAACAGAATAGAAGGGATATTTTATTTGCTTTTTACATTGTACATCTTCTATTTAACATACTGTGCCGTCAATAAATTGAAATGGCAATAATGAGTATATATAATTGCAATAATGAATGATGCATTTTTTTGCAATGTATATTTCAAGTGGTGTAATAAGTAAATTTTGATCAGGAATGTACATTTATTAAGACTTAATATATATGCAAACATACTGTACCGTTAACATAATAGCAATAGTAAAATTGCAGAAATGAATGATGCGCATTTTTAACAATGTATTTTTCAAGTAGTGTAATAGGTAACATTTAATAGTTAATAAAGACATACTAGGCCGTACAATGAGAAATAATGATAATTTAACAACGTCATGATAGAAACGTCCATTTGAAATTTCTTAAGATTTAGATAATTATAACACCACCAAGAATATCACCACTACCACCAAAAACAACATTAATGAAACATAATGAAAACTCCAACGATGAAATATTTCATCATTTAAAAACATGCAATGATGAAAAAATTAAATGAAATATAGAGTAATTGTAATCACGACCAGAAGAACAATAATGAAATAAAGTAATGAAATAACAATATGAGTGAAATAAAATTAAAACTATGAAATAAAATGAAATGAAATGAACAATAATGAAATAAAATGAAAACAAAAATAATGAAATAAGATAAAATAAAAACAATAAAATAAAAGCAAACAAAAAATGAAAATAAAAAATTGAAATAAGGTAACAAGAAATGGAATGAAAGAATATTATTGTCACAAGTGACCATTTAGTTGTTTACCTATAACATTCTTGACCTTAAAGTGACCAGCCTTTGCCACCAGTATGCAGCCAGGCCAACCTGCACGTCCGTGCAGATTGACCAGGCTCTAAACCGTTGGCTGACCAATTTCGAATTTGATTTTAAATTCTAAATTGAGAATGAACGTTTTAAGAAACGAAAGCTGGACAAGTCCGCTTCCGATAATATTATCAACCTTATACATGATATAATGTGTTCCTTTATGTTTTGAAGTATCATTTGTTTCATTTTTTATCTTTTAAATGCTTTAAATAAGGAGTCACAAAGGGTTACTTTATCATTTTCATTTCCAAGCATATCCTCGTGCGTTTCATCGCCGGATAGCCACTGATAAACACTGCCTATCTTGATTACATGTTTATCAACCGTGAGTATCCGACAATGCATGCGTTTATGCTTGTTTTTTTTGTTGTTGATTTTTAGCTCGACTTTTCTATGAAAAGGGGAGCTATCCTACTCGCCCCGGCGTCGGCGTCGGCGTCGGCGTCGGCGTCACACCTTGGTTAAGTTTTTCGTACCACCCCACTTTATTTCAGAAGTATTACAAGTATGGCTTTGAAACTTACCATACTTGTTCACCATCATAACCTCCATCTACAGACAAGAGTACATAACTCTGTCAAGGTTTTTGACAGAATTATGGCCCTTTTTTGACTTAGAAAGTGTATTGAGCTTGGTTAAGTTTTTTGTACCACCTCACTTTATTTCAAAACCATTGGAGGTATTGCTTTGAAACTGACCATACTTGTTTACCATCACGACCTTCATCAACAGACAAGAGGACATAACTCTGTCAAGGTTTTTTGACAGAATTATGCCCCTTTTTGACTTAGAAAATACATTGAATATGGGTAAAATCCACTTATTGCCTTAACCCTTTGAGATATTGCTTTGAAACTTTTAATGCTATTTCACATCATTACCCCCATCTGTACGCAAGAGAAGGTAACTCTGTCAAGGATTTGTTTTAAAAATTAAGGCCTTTTATCGACTTAGAATCTTGGTTAAGTTTTTCGTACCACCCCACTTTATTTCAGAAGTATTACAAGTATGGCTTTGAAACTTACCATACTTGTTCACCATCATAACCTCCATCTACAGACAAGAGTACATAACTCTGTCAAGGTTTTTGACAGAATTATGGCCCTTTTTAGCTCGACTTTTCTATGAAAAGGGGAGCTATCCTACTCGCCCCGGCGTCGGCGTCGGCGTCGGCGTTAACGTTAGCGTCGGCGTTGGCGTCACACCTTGGTTAAGTTTTTCGTACCACCCCACTTTATTTCAGAAGTATTACAAGTATGGCTTTGAAACTTACCATACTTGTTCACCATCATAACCTCCATCTACAGACAAGAGTACATAACTCTGTCAAGGTTTTTGACAGAATTATGGCCCTTTTTTGACTTAGAAAGTGTATTGAGCTTGGTTAAGTTTTTTGTACCACCTCACTTTATTTCAAAACCATTGGAGGTATTGCTTTGAAACTGACCATACTTGTTTACCATCACGACCTTCATCAACAGACAAGAGGACATAACTCTGTCAAGGTTTTTGACAGAATTATGCCCCTTTTTGACTTAGAAAATACATTGAATATGGGTAAAATCCACTTATTGCCTTAACCCTTTGAGATATTGCTTTGAAACTTTTAATGCTATTTCACATCATTACCCCCATCTGTACGCAAGAGAAGGTAACTCTGTCAAGGATTTGTTTTAAAAATTAAGGCCTTTTATCGACTTAGAATCTTGGTTAAGTTTTTAGTAACCAGTCCACTTTTTGACTGAACTGTTTGAGATATTAATTTGAAAGTTGGAATACTTGTTTACAATCATGATTCCCAAACATGTCCAGCAGGAGAAGGTAATTCTGTCAAAGATTTTATTTGAATTATGGCCCTTAACTGTCAATGTTTTGTATTATAGGCAAGCACTAAAAAGTTTTTTTTTCTTTCTTACCAGCCCTCTTTTGACTTAAACATTTTTCAAACTTTGCTGCAGTGTTCAAGGGTATCACACAATTCAGTAAAATAATTCTTCACTAAATATCTTAATGCTCATGGCCATTGTTCACTTTTAAAAATACAGAGATTCTTGTATTGCCTTTTACTGCAAAAACTTTTTTTATTGGCAAGCAATAAAAAAGTCGAGCGCGCTGTCTTACGGACAGCTCTTGTTTGACTTAGAAAGTGTTATTGAGCTTGGTTAAGTTTTTTGTACCACCTCACTTTATTTCAAAACCATTGGAGTATTGGCTTTGAAACTGACCATACTTTGCTTTTACCATCACGACCTTCATCAACAGACAAGAGGACATAACTCTGTCAAGGTTTTTGACAGAATTATGCCCCTTTTTGACTTAGAAATACATTGAATATGGGTAAAATCCACTTATTGCCTTAACCTTTGAGATATTGCTTTGAAACTTTTAATGCTATTTCACATCATTACCCCCATCTGTACGCAAGAGAAGGTAACTCTGTCAAGGATTTGTTTTAAAAATTAAGGCCTTTTATCGACTTAGAATCTTGGTTAAGTTTTTAGTACCAGTCCACTTTTTGACTGAACTGTTTGAGATATTAATTTGAAAGTTGGAATACTTGTTCACTTTAAAAATACAGAGATTCTTGTATTGCCTTTTACTGCAAAAACTTTTTTTATTGGCAAGCAATAAAAAAGTCGAGCGCGCTGTCTTACGGACAGCTCTTGTTTATTGTTGTTTTCAGTTTTTATATGATCTGACAAAAAGTTAAAAAAGATGGTGGGGTCTAGCATCATTTAGCTTTTTTGTTCGCTTTTGATACGTTATTCTATCATTTTTTTAACTTTACTTGCCTGTTTTAATTTTTTTTAAAGTTTTTTTTTTTTTAAAATTAAATAATTAATTAATTAATTAATTAATTAAATTAATTAATTTATTTATTTATTTATTTATTTATTTATTTATTTACCTACTTATCTTTATTTATCTATTTATTTTTATTTATTGTTTTGGCAAATAACAAATCAAGCGAAAAGGGAGGCTACTTGTTTTAAAAATACAGATTGATCTCCCCTGAAAATTTAAATGAATAAGAACGGACCAAAGGAGACTTCTCTTCATTAAAAGAAGTATAAAATGATGAAAAGTCGTTTTCCCGTCAGTTTACACTCCATTACCACTTGTTATTTTTCTAACTGATAACTCTCACACATCTTCGGCACTAACATTAACATTTGGGGAAAATGACTTTCATAATGCTACTGTAAAACTTCCAACAAATATCAATCAAAAGTAATAACATTTGGCCGCAAAAAGGCGATAATGTTTAAATTATCAATAGGGAGAGGGAAGTCGCCTTTTGGTCCCAATTTTTCAGGGGTGGTTACACCGTATACTTAATTAAAGAATGGTCTCCCTTTGGTCATAACTTGCTTTTACAAATTCTTCTGCAATATTAAATTTAAACATCAAAAACAATTTAAAAGGAACACACTATAGTCAAACTGGATACTTCCTATTTTAACAAAGTATACAGAAACTTGAAATAGTTCAACCAATTTTAGGGTAGATTTAATGATTAATGCTTTGATTAGAATCTTTTCACTTAGTACATATAAAAAATATGAAAATACTTATAGACCTAGTATCTTTACTTATTGAATCACGTTTTTTTTCAAAAGTATTATTTAAAATATTTGGCTATATTTTTGTGTACGGGTAAACAGAGGAAAACCATCAAAATTGTGT